GGTGGCGGGAGTCTGGGATCCTCCCCTAGTCTGTGAAGTAACTAGTGCAACCGGAATATCCCCGCCTGAGCCAATATACCAAACATGCTCAGAAACTATGCTAAAGTCTCCTGAAGTCCGGGGGTAATAGCAGGCGCCTCCGGTACATGCCCCCAACTGAAACTACTGGCGGCTCCCCAACTGCTTCTCTGGTAGGTGCCCTAGCTGCGGCATGTGCTCCTCGTCGGCCTCTGCCTCTGACCATAGTAGCATCTACTCCGGGGGTAACATCATCAGGAACCGCAGCTCGTATCCTCACCATTTGTGAGAGAATGGAATGGTAAATTGCAAACTTCAAGATCAATAAACTCGCACGATAGGAATGAAGGAAGTGAAATTGTCCTAATAATTCCGTAGCCTCTCGAAGATAAGTACAGGCATCTCCGTACCGATACGCAAGACTCTACTAAACTCGCTTATGACTCGTAGCACCTATGAACCTAGGGCTCTGATACCAACTATCACGACCTAATTTTTTCCTCCGTTTGGTATCATGATGGCACCTAGTTAGGGAAGAGGTAAGCCTAACATTAATTGAAACAACACTATTTAATTAACATCTAACAAAATAAATAGAAATCTCTTACAATTCCCAAAATCGGTAGTACAAGTCATAAGCTCTACAGAGTGTTTGCTAGAAAACTTCTAAATACAACTGTCCAGAAATAAGAATAAACAGTGCAAAACGAAAACTTTAAGGTGACTCCGAAACCTGCGAACGCAACGGCAGGTTTACCTTGAGTCTCCACAGCGACAGTCCATACAACTAGCTAACGAACAAATACCTAGGTCTGCAGAAAAACAAAAATTGTGCAGAAGAGTAGCATGAGCACACCACAGCGGTGCCCAGTAAGTATCAAGACTAACCTCGGTGAAGTAGTGACGAGGACTAGTCAAGACACCCACTAGTCTAATAAACTGAACCAGCATAAGTATAGGGATGACAGAACATGACATCTATCTAAGGACCCCGCGATATGGCTAACGACATAGCAACTGCAATAAGGAAGGAAAAACAGGAAGTAACAGCGGAACACCAGAATAAGATACAGAAGAATGAACGAAAACACAATCCAAATCCAAAAATCACAATACAGTAAAGGCAAGTAGTTACTCAGCAGCTACAATAGTTTTCACATCAGGTCTCAGCCAACAACCCCAATAAATTAGTCAAATCCTTCAAGTGTAAACTTTCACCCGTAAGTTTTTAAATTGAGGTCTTTAGAATATAATCCTTTCCAATAAGAAATTATTTTTGAAATATATTTTCTTCAAATAATTAGCCTTCAAACATAGTTCTTTCAAGATAAATACTTTTCAAGTATAACCCTTTCAAATAAATATCTTCAAACATAGTTCCTTCAAGATAAATACTTTTCAAATATAAACTTTTCAAGTAATATCCTTCGAGTATAAGTCACCCTGTGACACCTAAGCATGGAAGATTAGCAGCTCCGAACACAGATATAACCACAGGGGAAATCTACCGGAATACCGTCCCGTAGTCCCGAATTAATTATGTAGTACGGGAGGGGGGAGGGGGAGAGATCTCCCGGAATACGTCTGTAGTCCCAAAATAAATATGCAGTGCTGGGGGATCTCCCGGAATACGTCTGTAGTCCCAAAATAAATATGCAGTGCTGGGGGATCTCCCGGAATACGTCTATAGTCCCAAAGTAAATATGCAAGACAGGGGGAACTCCCGGAATACGTCCGTAGTCCTAATTTAAATGTGCAGTGCTGGGGGATCTCTCGGAATACGTCCGTAGTCCCAAAATAAATATACAGTGCTGGGGATCTCCCGGAACATGTCTGTAGTCCCAATTTAAGGAATTCAAACGTATCAAAAACAATATCATACACAGTGAATATGAGGACATAAGAACCCTAAAAGGCCAACTTTCCATAAATAAGTCCGAGCACGCACTCGTCACCTTGCGTACACAGACTACAATCAATATAGATTACTCAAATCCTAAGGGGTAGTTCCCCCTCCCCCCTCCCCCTCCCTCCCACAAGGTTAGGCAAGATACTTACCTCGAGTCAAGCTTAATCAATCCGTAAGAATGCCCTTTCCATGAATATCCGGCTCTGAATGGCCCAAATCTAGCCAAAAGCAATTACATATCATAATTACAATCATAATAGACTCATCTAATTAATTAAATTAATACTTTAACAAAAATTCCGAAATTCGCCCTAAAAAGTCAGACACGGGCCCACGTCTCGGAATCGGGTAAAAGTCACAAAATACGAAAGCATATTCACTCACGAGTCTAACCATATCAAATTTACTAAAATCCGACACCAAATGGTCCTCCAAATCCACAATCCAACTCCCCAAATCCCTAGCCTCCAATTTCCACCTTAAATACACACTAACTAGGTGGGAAAATATATGGGGAAGCATGATTATTGATAAAAAATAAGCACAAGGGGCTTACCTCAAGAAATCTCTCGAAAATGCTCTCAAATATTTCCCTAAACCGAGTTGCAAAGTCCAAAAAATGACAAAAATCGTGAAGCCCTTCGGTTTTAACCACTACCCAGCTATTTCCGCACATGCGAAGCCTAGGCTCGCACTTGCGGGTGCGTTTGTGCGGAAAAAAAGTGTGCATCTGCGCAAATCACTTACCCCCTCTGCCTTCGCACCTGCGATGAAAGGTCCGCACCCGCACGCCTGCAGAAATCCCTTCCGCTTCTGCGGACCTTGCGCACCTGCAATGACCTTAACGCATCTGCGGGCATCGCAGATGCGGAATTCACCTCGCACTTGTAACCCCTGGCACTCCTCCATTTTTCTGCTTCTGCGCTTGCCTCCCCGCACATGTGATCACGCACCTGCGGTCTCTCCACCGCAGGTGCGAAAATGACAGATGCGTGAAGACTTCAGCAGCAACTCAAATCCAACTTTTGATCCGTTAAGCACTCGAAACTCACCCGAGGCCCCTGGGACCTCAAACAAACATACCAACCAATCCTAAAAACCATACGAACTTAGTCGAGCCCTAAAATCACATCAACTAACGCTAAAAATTATGAATCACCCTCCAATTCAAACTTAAAGAACTTGAAACTTCAAATTCCTACAACCAATGTCGAAACCTATCAAACCACGTCCGAATGATCTCAAATTTTGCAAACAAGTCATATTCAATATTTCGGACCTACTCCAACTTCCGGAATCGCATTCCGACCCCGATATCAAAAAGTCCACTACCGGTCAAAAATCTCCAAAAATTCGACTTCTACCATTTCAAGCCTAAATGAGCTACAGACCTCCAAAACACAATCCGGACATGCCCCCAAGTCCAAAATCACCCAACGGAGCTAACAGAACTGGCGAAATTCTATTCTGGAGTTGCCTTCATACAGTTCTAACTATGGTCAAAATCCTAAGACTTAAGCTTCCGTTTTAGGGACTAAGTGTCCCAAATCACTTCGAATCACCTGATAATTGAATTCAACCACACACGCAAGTCAAGGCACATAATACGAAGCTGCTCAGGGCCTTATGCCGCCGGACGGGATTTAAATTCTCAAAACGACCGACCGGGTCGTTACACTATATCAAGCATAATTTATAAGTAGGGGAAGTTTCATAATATGTCCATTTGTAAGATTCACTTTGATGATATGCCTAAGTTTTAAAATTACATCAAATATTTCAAAAATATTACTCTATACCTCCAATCTTCCCAATTATTCTGAAACATACCACAATATTCTAATTTGGAATACAATATTTAAACCAAATATACCATGGTATTCTAATTTCGAATACAATATTCAAATCAAACATACTATAATATTCTAATTTCGAATACAATACCCAAATCAAATATACTACAGTATTCTAATTTGAAATATAGTACTCAAACCAAACATTCCACACTTTTCTAATTTGGAATACAACATTCAAACTAATCGTACTATAATATTCTAATTTGGAATACAATATTTAAATCAAACATACCATAATATTCTAATTTAGAATACACAATATTTTATTTTGGAATACAGTAGGTATACAGGGTCAAATAAATTAATAAAGTGGGTATACAAGGTAAAATAAATATTTAAATATGTATACATGATAAAATAAATATTTTAATTGTATATGATATTAACTAGTGTTTCTAATGGGTATACCGCTTAGATTATATCCCCCTGAGCAATTCCACTTTCCTGAAACATCCTTTTTTTCTTTTTTCTTTTTTCTCAAGACATAAACAGTTTAACTATTCAAAAGTATCAGATTTGTCAATGGAACAGTAGTTTGAGCTTCAGCTCAACTTCAATAGTGGTGAGAGCTTGACCTCTTCGCCATGAGAGAAGTGAATGGAGAGAAGAAGGAGGAAGGAGAGAAATGAATCTTCCGGAATTCTGATTCTCTATTTGAATTCTAAGTGGAGAACCCATTTTATACAAGGAATGAAAAATGAAAGAGAGCAAAGCCAAAACTAAACATAACCGACTAACTAACAAGTGAGCTGGCTACAATTGTCAGCTCACTGCTACACTAACCAACTGAAGACTAAGATAAGTAAAGCTCTTACTAATTTACATAATTAATCTCAACACCCCCCCCCCCCCCCCCCAAGTTGGAGGTGTAGTATACACAACCAACTTGCCTAATGTATCACTATGTTTGATTCCAGTCAGAGCCTTGGTGAGAATATCTACTAGTTGATTATCTGTTCTGATGTGGTAGAGTGAAATAAAGCCTGCTTGTAGTTGATCACGCACAAAATGGCAATAACTTCTATATGTTTGGTTCTTTCGTGGAATACTGAATTCTGGGCAATGTGGAGTGCAGACTGACTATCACAGAACACTGAGATAGGCATGGAAAAAAGGACAGTTAGTTCTTCAAAAAATCTGCTCAATCGTACCAATTCCCCCACTACTTTCCCCAGGGCTCTATACTCTGCTTCTGCAGAGGACAAAGATACGATCTCTTATTTCTTATACTTCCAGTTGATGGGGCTATTGCCTAGAAGCACCAAATAGACTGTAATGGATCTCCTGGAGTCTGGGCAAGCTGCCCAATCAGAATCACAATAAGCTCTAACTGTGTGATCTGCATCTTTTAACATGAAAATCCCTTGAGTAGGATCATTTTTCAGGTATCTGAGCAGGTGAAATGCTGCATTCAAATGAGGCTCTCTGGGCTCTTGCATAAACTGGCTCAAGTGTTGAACACTATATGCAATATCCAACCTTGTATTAGTTAGGAAATTCAGCTTACCTACTAGCTTTCTATAATAAGTAGGATCCTGCAGGATGGTGCCTTCCCTGGCTTTTAGCTTTATAGTGGGATCTAAGGGTGAGGAACAAGAACTGTGATCCAAGCAATTGTATTCTTTCAACAAGTCCAGCACAAACTTTCTTGGCACCATCATCTTTGTACATGACTTTCAACCCCAAAAAGTAATGCAATTGGCCTGGGTCTTTGATCTTGAATTGTTCATGTAGAAAGGCTTTGAATTGTGCAATTGCATGCTGATCAGTCCCAGTGAGCAACACATCATCCACATATACTGCAACATATACTGAGGACTCTCCATTCCTTTTGTACAAGAGTGAGTAGTCATTCATGGAATGTGTATAACCCTTTGAACATAAGGCTTCAGTCAACTTTTCATATCATTGTCGACTAGCTTGTTTTAAATCATAGAGAGATTTATTTAGCTTATACAAACTAGTCCTGATTTATCCACGACAAGTCCAGGTGGGACTTGCATATATACTTCCTTGTTAAGATCCCCATAAAGAAAAGCATTGTTCACATCTAGCTAAGATATGGCCCAACCCTTCTTAACTGCTATGGCTATCAATGCTCTCATTGTTGTCATCTTTACCACTGGTGAAAATATTTCTGTGTAATCAATTCCTGCCTGCTGAGTGTAGCCTTTGACAACCAGCCTAGTTTTGAACCTTTCAATACTACCATCAGCTTTATGCTTCACCTTGTAGACCCATTTGCAACCTATTGCCTGCTTCCCAGGTGTTAAAGGTACTAGGTCCCAGGTGTGATTGGAATATAATGCTTCAAACTCTTGTGTCATTGCAACTAGGGCTGTGCATAATTTGGTAAATACCGAATTATCGTACCGAAACCAAAAATTTTGGTATTTGGTATTCGGTATAGTATTTGGTTTAAGTTTTAAAAAATATTGGTATTAGGTATGGTATTTGGTATTTTAAAATAAAATACTGAAATACCGATACCGTACCGAAATATATATTATATTACACAATACACATATTATTAATTATAACATAAATATAAAAATATAAAATTTTACTTTTCTTTGTTCTCTAAGTTCATCAATTAACTCTAAGCAAGTAACAAGACATTTCTAATGATCAAATATATTCTTTTATGTATAAATTTCTCTCTCTGGGTTGATATTTGCTAGTTTTGGACAAAACTTTTGTCAACAAATATTTTTAGTTTTATACTTTTGAGTACTTTAATTTATAATGTTACAATCTATGACTCCATGCACTAGTTAGTATTCAAACCGAATAAGCCGAAGTTACCAAACCGAATAAACCGAAATCGAAAGGAGAAAAACCAAACCATACCGAATTTAATTAGGTACGGTATTGGTATTGCATTTAAAGAAACCGAATACCGAAAATATTGAACTGAAATATCTAAATATTGTACTGTACCGGCCGACGAACACCCCTAATTGTAACTTGCCATGCATGATCAACAGTTGCCTCCTCATATGATGATGGTTCCCTGTTATGACAAATATTTCTCACAAGAACCTGACTATTAGGGGTTAGTAGATCAGAGGCAATATGGTGGTTCATAGAAAACAAAGCATTAAGGGAAACAGAATTTGGTTTAAGTTTGGGAAGGAAATGTACATAGTATTGCAAATAACCAGGTGGCATGTGTGTTCTTTGTGATTGTCTTAGTTGTAAAGGTTCTGCATAGGATTGTTCAGTATAATGTTGTGGTGAATAAGGTAGTGGAGATATAGGTTCTGTAGAAGGTGATAGTGGAGCTACATGTACAGGTGACATAGAGTTGGATGTGCTATCAGGACTCCTTTGACCAATGAGAACATCAGACAATTGTTGTGCAATGTTTGTGTCACCAGAAGATTGTTCACATAAGGACTCAATTAAGGGAATGGAATGAGGAACATAAGTTTGAGAAGATGCATTCATACTGACTGCAAAGGGAAAAATGGACTCATTAAAGACTACATCTTTGGAAATATAAATTTTCTTAGTGGCTAGACTCAAAACTTTGTATCCCTTTGTGTTGAAAGGTTAACCAACAAAGACATGTGGTGTTGTTCTAGGCTCAAACTTGTCCCTGTGTGGTTTTGATACAGTAGGATAGCACAGACACCCAAAATATTTTAGGTGAGAGTCTGGTTTTTAATAGAGGCAGAAGGCAATCTGTTTATAATGTAGGTGGCACAAAGAACAAACTCACTCCAGTATTTTAGTAGCAATTTAGATTGGAAGAGAAGTGCTCTAGTTGTTTCAAGAAGATACTTATGTTTCCTTTCCACCACACCATTCAGCTGTGGTGTGTAGGGGCAAGTTCTTTGGTGGATAATACGTTTAGATTGGAATAGCACACTTGCTTCTGTGTTGGTGAATTCTAAACCATGACCTTATGGCCTTGACAACCACAACAAATTGGTTTTCCACCAGATTAATAAAGCCTTTGAGCACTTGGAGGGCATTGTTTTTGCTAGATAAAAGGTGAGTCCAAGTAGACCTACTGAAGTCATCCACCATGGTCATGAAGTATTTGTATCTGTCATGTGTCGGAACACGATATGGGACCCATAGATCAACATGTAATAGTTCAAAAATTCTGCTAGTTGTAATAGTTCTCTGAGGGAATGGGTGTCTTTCTTGTCTAGCCATGGGGCAAATGGTATAGTTGAAACGTTGTTTGGGAGAGAAAGTTACAGGAATGGAAGAAATGTCCTTCATTTTGATAAAAGGGACATGTACAAGTCTGTTGTGCCATAGCACATCCACATTATCTCCAGTACACAAACGAGAAGATGCATTAGAAGCTTTAGAATATGGATTTATAAGAGAAAATTGTCCTTCATTATTTGCACATGGACTATTTACAACTGGATGAAAGGAAACACACTTATTGACATGTAATGGCTTATTTACAACAGACTGAGAAGGACACTGTGTGTTACAAGTGCAACAAGTAAAAGTAGTTGGTAAGATATCAGAGGTTTTTACTGCAGGGCTTGCACTGTTGCTCTTCAAGCAACTTGGACACAGGATGTACAGCCCATCCTTGACCCTACCAATCACCAGAGGCCTCTTCATTGAAGGGTCCTGCAGTATGCAACAATGTTTATCAAAGGCAATAAGGGAGTTGAGATGAGATGCCAAAGAATAAACAGAGATCAAATTGTATCTAAAGGAAGGAACAAACATCACCCTGTGTAAAGTGATCTTAGGAGCGAGTATCACACTACCAATCTCTATCACCTTTATTTTGTAGCCATTTGGAAGTATAACGTACAAAGGATTGGGTAAGGTTATTATATTGGGTAATAGGGATCTGTTAAAGGTCCTATTGTTTGATGCCCATGAATCTATAATCCACGAGTCAGTCTTGTTTTTGAAACATTCACATGACAACTTACCAAAGTCAATAGAGGACGTGCAGGCTATAATACCTGCAAAGTTTGCTGCTCCAGTTGGAATGCTGACACTATTTGTGCAATCTCTTCTGCCTTGTGATTGAAACTGCTGCAACAGACTCACTAGCTGACCATATTCCTCTTTGGTGAGGCTCACACTTTGAGCATTATCATGAGCAACAGATTTCTCAGTGTCAGCAGGTTATGTATCTGTAGCTTCCACATATGCATTAGCCACTACTCTATTTCCTATATTGAACTTAGTGTTCTGGTTACCATTGGGATTATGACCATGGTTGAAGTTTTGTCTTGGATTCTGATTGTAGTTGGAAACCTGATTTGTGATTTGTGTTTGGATTCTGATTTTGACTGAAACTCTGAGAATATCCATGAAGCTTATAACATCTCTCTTTAATGTGTCCTGGTCTCTTGCAATGATCACAAAATGGTCTGTTTCTATTGCTGTGATTGTTGTTGGGAGAGTAATTAGTCCTAAAAGGCACTGGCCTACTTGTGTTAGCATTCAAGGCTGATGATTCAAGAGCCAGATGATTATTTGGCTTGATTTCTCTTTGTCTTTCCTCTTGGATTAGTAGTGAAAAGGCCTAGGCAATTGAGGTAAGAGGATTCATCATGAGGATACTACCTCGGACTACAATGTATGTCTCATTCAGCCCCATGAGGAACTGTATCAACTTCCTATCTTGTTCAACTTTGTGCATACTTTCCTAGCCCCACACGTTCAATTGCAAGTACAATGAGATTTGGCAATTAAAGTGTTGAGTTCCTCCCATAACTTCTTCATCTTAGTGTAGTAACCAGTGATGTCAAGAGTTCCTTGGGATATATCATCGATTTCCCTTTGAATTTGGTACAATTTTGTTCCATTAGTTTGATCATAGCGATCCTCAAGTTCTCTCCACAATTCGACTGCATCTGTCACATACTCAACACTGTCTGTAATTTTCTTAGCTAGAGAGTTCAGGATCCATGAAGTTACCATGTCATCACACCTTTCCCACAATCGATACTTCGATGAGTCTGGATCTGGTATTTTGCATTCCCCGTTGATGATTCCTAGCTTATTTTTCACTGATAGGGCTCGCATTACACCTCTTCTCCATGAATGGTATCCAAAACCATCAAATGGAACAGGAACCAATGCTGCTCCGGGATTATCAGACGGATGCATATAAAAAGGGATACTGGTATCAACAATTGGCTGATTAGGAGATTCAGCCATGGACAACGTAGACTGTTCATCATCTTCGACGATAGTCACCTCGCACAGTATGAAATTTCTAAGTGATTGAAGACTAGAAGATAGTAATTACAGATCTAAGAAGCTAACGGTGACAAAGTAGAACTTTTCCAAAAATTACTACTCGAGATCGATGAAAAATGAAACTTGCATGAGTACGATCGAATCGAATTACAGGATAACATATCAAAATCTAATACAGGATAACGAGTCAAAACCTGTGATAGACTCTGATACCATATCAGATTTGTCAATGGAACAGTAGTTTGAGCTTCAGCTCAACTTCAATGGTGGTGAGAGCTTGACCTCTTCGTCATGAGAGAAGTGAATGGAGAAAAGAAGGAGGAAGGAGAGAAATGAATCTTCCAGATTCTCTAATTGAATTTTAAGTGAAGAACACATTATATACAAGGAATAAAAAATGAAAAAGATCAAAATCAAAATTAAACATAACCGACTAACTAACAAGTGAGCTGGCTACAACTGTCAGCTCACTGCTACACTAACCAAATGAATAAAGCTGTTACTAATTTACATAATAAATCTTAACAAAAAGCCAGCTAGCTTTGGAATAATATTTCACTTAGAACACTCCTAGTATAAAAATAAATAAAGTATAGGATCTCTTCTGTCACATTTTCTGATGCAAGTGTCAAGCTACTAGAAACAGTTAGAAAACT